TTCTTATACTATTCTGGGACTTGCAGGGGGACATAGCGCCGCTACGACCATAGCGGCGCTTTGGGATGAAATGTTTGTGCCTCTGCCCATCGCTTTGCTATGTAACGCCGCTATCTGGGGCCATAGCGGCGCTATGGCCTGGGCAGCTTTGCACGATTTCACTGTTTGGGCTCGTTCGGGTTCGTTTGGACTCGGAATTCGATTCCGCTTTTTCCTGTGTGTTGCTAACGAACTCCTCTATTTAATTATGCTTGCACAATAAGCTTTTGCCCAAAATTATGTCCTCTTGAAGCTTCAAACCTACACACCATAAACAAAGAAAAACGGAAAAACACACAGAAACACAAGAAAAAAACTGAAATAGATGAAAACACGCAATAAACTACAAAAACGAATAAAACCCAAAGAAAAGACTCAATATGGGGGAAAAAGAAAGACAGAAAGACAACGAAAAATTTAACAAAAATGGGACAAACAGTATGCTTGCACTTTATCGAGTTGGCTCTTGCACTTTATCGGGATCGTTATTTCGTACATTATATTTTTCAATAAAAATAATATAAAAATAATAAATAAAAATAATAACATACTAAATATTATTTAATATAAATAATAAATTATTTCGATTATGTAGTATAATTAAGTTGACCAACCGAATAAATCAAACAATTCGGTTCAATTTCAATTTAATTTGGGACAAAAGTCCGTTCGAACCAATATGCACAACATTGATTGACATCGTGCACCATTGTGTTAGAAGACCCGCATATTAATAGTTGTTAGATTGAACATTATATTTTGTTTATACAAAATATTTCGACATCCTCTCGGTCGATTAAACCAACCCGACCGATGATCCGAGCAATTAAGAATTATATAATTTTGTAAAAAATGTAACGATTTTTATAATGTGCTTATAAATTCACAATACAATGCTATCATGTATTGTTAATGCGCAATATATTGAACTTTTAATAAATTAAAGAAACATCCTACTATTAACATACAATCTAACACAATTTCTAAAATTGCACAAAACTCCCTACAAATTGTCTAATATTCATCACAAAGTCCCAACACCCAAGAAATAAAATAATATTAAAAAAATGAAAAATTATGTCATTACAAACACATACACACACACACACACACACAACGTCAGCTGCAGTCGGCCCCCCGCGCCATCGTCGGCCGTCATATTCGGCCAGAGACGCTGCCGTGGCCAAACAAACTGGAAATATGTCTCAGTCACCAGCAAGGAGTTGTGGCCGTGAATGTCGGGCCTTGCCCGCCGCCGACCACCCCATCGCACGACTGTCTTGTCTGGCCAGGGTGGGGTCGCCGTTGTCGTGACGTCACAGACTGGAAACAAATCCCCGTCACCGACGAAGAGCTGTTGTCGTGATTGTTGGACTCGTTGTGGTGCTCTACTGCATAATGGCCGAGCCAGACTGCGGCTGTCTGGCTGACAGAGGCAGTCGTGAATGCTGGGCCCATCGTGGTGCTCAGCGGATGGTGGTCGCGCCAGAGGACGATGACGGAGGCAGGTATTGCGGCAGCGGTTGGCTGGGTGAAGGCAACTGGGAGTTC